CGTCTCCCGTCCCTGGGCTGCTCTCGGCTGTGCTGCCAGCTGGGCCAGGAAGGGTGGCTGCAGGGGGACAGGGGGGCTGCCTCCCCTGCGCGCTGGGCATTGGAGCAGATGAAGGGCAGCCGGGCTTGTCGCTCTCGCACAGAAACCTGCCGACCGAGCCCAGGTCCGTTTCGTCCTCGCTGCCCGAGAGAAGCTCCGGCAGGACGAGGTGCCCGCCAGCGGGCCAGTGCAGGGAGGTGTCTCCGGGCACCCCACGTGGGGCAGAGCTTCCCGTGCCAGGCCCTGGCCTGCTGCCCACCCTCGCTGCGATCTGCCTGTTTGTGCTGGCACGGCAGTCCCTCCCTGGCACGCCGTCCCCTTGTTCAATGTCACTGAGACACTGCTCCTCGGCTGTGGCCAGGGTGGCCAGCGCTAGGTTGCATTCCTCCGACGCCAAGAAGAACTCAGCCCAGTCCCGGTCGTTCAGATGGATGCTGTACTCAAAGTTATCCATGCCTGCAGCAGCAAAGCAAGGGGAGGGGGCCGGAGAGATCAGGGCATGAGGAGGGGGCACCAGCATCAGCAGACATAGCTGAGGTGTATGCCCCTAACCCTTTCCCCCCAGGTTCCTGCCCTGCTTCGCTGCCATCCGCATTCACTCATCCTCACTCGTTTCCAGCTGAAATCAGTGGGAGGCAAGGGCAGCTCCCGGCAGACACAGCAGGACAGGTATCGCTGTGCTGGACCGTAACCCAGCCAGCAGTGAGAGACCGCTGCTACCCCCCTCAGGTCCCTTCTGCCTCTGCTCCCCGAGCACAGCAGCACAGAGGGTTTGGGATTCTCTCCACAGCAGCACAGCAGCATGGCACCTCACATACCCCTTTCCTACTCCTTTTGCCTACCACTGATTTAAAAAAGTGGGGGATTTACACTCTTGAGCATTTCTGCTGCCACGGCATCATGCATGAAGGTAGCATGAAGCACAGTCCAAACAAGGACATTCCAGCAAGCCATGGCAGCCCCTTCCATACCCACGGCTCCGGGGAGGGAGATGTAACAGAGCCCAAAACCAGCAGGGGGGATCCAGCGGTAGAAGAAGAAGCAGAGAGATCACAAAGCTGCATCCTACCTGTACCACAAACTAAGCCGGTGATGGAGCCATTCAAAGAGCCATGCAGGAAAATCCTCCCAGCACAACATGATGCTGTACCCTTGACGGGGGCAGAGAGCTCAGCTCCAGCACAGATCCATTCAGAGGCTAAAAATAGACACCCCCTCCTCCCTCCCCAGTGTGTCACTTGAGATCCGAGCGTGATGGGTTTAGAGAGGGCAGGCCCATATATAGAAGCTGGTGGGGAAGATGTGAGGGTGCCAGCCAATGCATTTCTGTCCCACAGCCTCTGGGGTCTCTGGGACCACTCCTGATGCCCACTGCTCGCTTCTGCCCTCTGCCTGGGGTTGCTCCGTGGGGTGGCAAGCAGAGACGGAGCCCAGGCCCAGGCCACAGAGCTCGCAGCCTTTAGCACAAGGTGGAGCGTGACATCTGGATGGCAATGACTGTTCTTTTTTCAACATACCCACCTCTTCGCCTCAGTCTACGGTGACAAAAACATGCCTCAGGGGCATCGTTCGCTTATTGAAAGCTCTTCTAGGGCACTTATTGCCAGCCTACTGCAGATTCACATCAAAAGATCACAGCCAGCGTCATGGTCTTGTGACAAATCTTGCATGGTGCGTGGCAGCCTTCCCACACCGCCCAGGAGCATCTGGTGTGGGTGGCAGAGGGATCCCAGGGTGGGAGACTCAGGGTGAGCCTGGCACGAGGGAGTTACAGGGGAAGCGGCTGGCTGAAGGTGGCCTGGCGGGTCAGCAACCAGAGCCAGAAATAGCCCTCAGCTCCTGTGAGTCCCGGAGCTTGCCTCCCACTGCATGCCCTCCCCTGTCCCAGGGACCAGAAATAGATGCTCTGAAGCAGCTGCCTGCAGCACAGTGCCTGCGAGCGTCAGCCCAAGCCCAACTCCCGGCCCTGCTGCCCCGAGGGGGGCCAGCACTGCCCCGAGGCTCCGGCCACCCCTTCAGTCACCAGGCTGCTGTAGACCCCAAGCTGGAGATGGCCAGCCATGTAGATGCTGTGGAAGCCAAGAGGGACCCACGTGCTCTGCATCCACCTCGGGGGTCCTCGGTGAAGCTGGGGTGCCAGCCATGCCGCACTGCATGCTCCGGGGAGCCAGGGGCCAGCACCCAGCTCCTGCCCCGCAGGCTGGAGGGCAG